AAGCGGAGGGTTCAAGGCCCTCCTGGTTTGCGGCGGGGAGTAGGGAAGAAGCAGCACCAATGCCAAGCCACTGAATCCAATAGCCCTTTAGACGACTTCTCTCTAGGCCCCGCCCACTCGGAGGAGGGGGTCCTCTATCCAGGTTCAGGGGAACGGAGTAATCGAGTAATCAACGTTGTGAAAGACTAAAGGCAGTCCAAGGCCATAGACTGTGCTCCCACCCAGGGACCTGGTAGCTGCCTCACCTCACCTTCCTGTCTTAGTACAGTAGGGTACGAGTAAGGAAATGGACAACTTTTCAACTATTCAGATAATAAATATTTCAGACTTTCTATGATCTCTGTCACGACAAGCACAGAAACAGCCATGGACAATATGTAAATGAAGAAATGTGGCTGTGTTCCACTAAAACTTTATTTATGGGCATTGACATTGGACTGTCATATCATTTTCACATGTCATGAAATATTCTTATTTTTGTTTTTAACAGCCATTTAAAAATGTAGAAACCATTCTTAGCATGCAGTCTGGACAAAAACAAACAGTGGTTTGGACAATCAATCACCCTCCCACTCTTTTCTTCAGGCTACCTGTGAGGAGTGAATGCCAGAGAAATTCTCCCACCTGGGAGCATCCAGAGAGCCAGAAACCTGTCTATGACTGTTGTTCCCAGCTACTCACAGGGCTACAACAACCTCTGAGACCAATGTAGTAGTCTGTACCCCTGATATGTGCACACAATAGGGAGGAGATCTATCTCCAAAGGGCTTTCTACCCAGTGCCTGGGCATACCCCACCCCCGATGCAACTGCCATGCCCCCGTACACACACACACACACACACACACACACACACAGAGTGGCCAAGTCCTTGGCCCTCTCTTTCTAATTCCATGTCCCTCCTTCAACCCGTGGGTCCCCAGACTGGAGCCACCCACTGATCTAGGCTTAGTACCAACCACTCACTGACCTAGCCCTTCCATTCCTTTCTTTTCTCTCTGGCAGCGTTGGGGGAGCCCCTTTTCCTGTACACTGGAGCTATGACCCTTTGGAGGTGATCCATGAGAGACAGGATGCAGGCCCTTGGCCCTCCAGATAAGGGCCTCCTCCAAGGCCTTGTGGCCTCTCGCATCGAGACTTATGGGGGCCGGCATGGGGCCTCCACCCAGAGCACTGCTGGCAGTCTCTACCCCCGAGGAGGTGTTGTCCCGGTGAGTCCAAGCTGCTCCCCAGGCAGTGCCCTCAAGATGACCTGGGTGAGGCAGGAGGGAGGACACCCAGACTTTCATGTCTCTGTCCCCTTACAAGTTAGTGGGTTGCTCTATTCCTGTCCCTTACCCTCACTCTTCTTTACTGAGTTGCCAGGGAGAAAGGTAGTGCCTGAATCAGGCTCCCAGGACTCAGCAGCCTGAGCAGGTACTGCAGGTAGACAACGGGAGAAGCCAGGCCCACAGAGGAGGTGCTGTTAAACAGGTCTGAGGCACAGAGCTGGTGAGGGTAGTGGGGTAAATTCACGAAACCCCTGGATTGGTACCGCCCAGTAGGAGTGTGTGGGCTCCCTGAGACCTGCCCCCCTGAGTCAGGGCTGGAAACAGAGCAAAAAAGTTCAGGGTGTCCATACTTTACAAGTTGGGGGTTATTGGGGCCTACTTTGGCTCCACCCTGGCCCCACCTCCTGGCCCACCTCCAATCTTCACCAAAGAAAGGGGTGTGGAAATGGACTGGGTCTTCCCCTCAGCCTACAGGCTTCCCTTTCATCTTGAGAACTGCTTCCTGCTGGGGTATCCCCAGTATCTCTGGATGAGGATTTGGTTCTCAGGAAGAAGACAGTGGGAACTTGTCCATGCTGAGGGTGGAAAGGGAGACTAGGAAGTATGTGGAGTAATTCAGGCCACAGGCTGATCAAGGAATGTGACTAGGCCTGCCCGGGAGAGGACTCAGCTATGGCCTAGACCTCTCACACGGAAGAGCAGCCACTCCCAGCTGGATGGGAGGTTGACTGATGCCACAAGGAAGAGGCTGTGCATGTATGTGCCCTCTTCTCCACGTGTGAGAAAGGCTGGCCACTGACTGGAAAGGATCATGGGACCCAGATGCAGTATGCCCTGGGTACTGTCGGTGCATGCCTATGGTGCCCAGAGCACACGTGTGCAGGGCAGGCATCTGCATGTGCTCCAGCTCTGGGGGAGGCCAGGCCTCTACCTCCAGGCTTACTTGGGGAGCCAGGTCGACATGTCCCTGCCCAGCTCAGCTTGGCCTCGCTGGTAGCTGCAGCTGTGACTCAGAGCAGGAACAGCCACACCAAACTGGTTTGAGGGGAGAAGTGAGCCAACCCAACTTGGCAGAATAAACCATGTCTGGAGCCAAGGCTGTTGTTGTTGTTGTTGTTGTTGTTAAGTGTCATCAAGTCTGTTGCAAGTCATAGCGATTCTGATAGGGTTTCCAAGGAGTAACTGGTGAGTTTGAACCACCAAACTTGTGGTTCAAACCGACCTCGCGGTCCTGCGCTTTATCCTGCAGTGCCACACCAGAACTCCTGGAGCCAAGCCTAGCCTCCCACTATCTGTCTGGGACTTGTAAGGGAAGGAAGGGACCCCTACTACTTACCCTGCTCCTCCCCCAGGATCCCAGTCATCGCCGTCTCCAAAACTACGGCCTGTTTACCAAGAGCTCTGGCCAGTCCCGGGGTAAGTCTCCCATGAGGCTATGGGAACCAGACCCTGAGAAGCGACATGGTGTACCTTACACCCCCAAGTTCAAGGTAAGGGGTCCCTCTTCTCCTACCCCCATGATCAGACCTAGCAAACCCCAGGGGCAGAGAGCACAAGGTGGTGTTGTCTCTGCCTGGAGCCCCTCCAAAAAATCAGCTACAGCTCTGCCTAGAAACCCCCTTGGAGGTCTGTCTCTACTCTACTTGGTCCATACCATTAGACCCAGTGACTTTGAAGACATTTTTGACATAGTTTAAAGGATAAACTGTTAATATTAAACTTCCAGTTCTTTAAAACTATCTCATATTGTGAAACCCAAGTATCCTTACTCTATCCTCTCGCCTCATTGCATCCTTCACCCCACCCGTGAGCCTTACCCTTTCAGGAGGCAGGGGAAGGAATATTTTTGTTCACATTATTTCATACCAAAAAAAAAGTTATTTGTCAAATTTAAGCCATGTTGCCTCAAGAAAAGGCTTATATGAAATGTTGGCTAAGACCACTGGCCCCTAAATCCTGCTACAAGATCCATTCTGATTCCTCCTCCCAGGAGTCTGTCTTAGGAAACTCCAGGAAGGAATATATCTGGCCAGAGGGCCAAAGTCAGGCCCCTGCAGAAAGAAGCCTTTCTGTAGGCCAAGGAGTCTCTGTCCATGTTCCAGAGCACTGTCCTCTCTGCTGCCATCCCAGCTGGAGTTGATCCCTGTCCCCGAGGCCTTCGTGTCCCTACTCATACTCAGTGTTACTTGCCACCTCCCACTGCTTCCCAGATTCACAAATACACAAAGGTCTCCCAAACCAGGTGGCTGGTGACACAGCTGTGGTTAGGGCTGATCCCTTTCTCGACTCCCCTAGGAGGTCACCAAGACCCGTGAGCTGGAGAGGCGGCTGAAGATCTTCAGTATGTTTGGGATGCCCCGCCTGCCCCCTGAGGACCGGAGACACTGGGAGATAGGGGAGGGCAGTGACAGCAACCTGGACACTGAAAAGTCCTGGAGGGAGCTGGTGCCTGGGCACAAGGTGGGCTTTTAACCCTGTCTGTCTCCACATTGTTATAGACACAGATTCACACTCTCAGTTCTGCTCTGGAAAGAGGGAAAGTCCTTGGGAAGTGGGGTCATATGGAGACAGTCAGTTCTAGGTTCAAATCCTGGTTTTACCTCTTACTAGTAGACCTTGGAATCCTGGTATGGTGCTATAGGATAAGTACTGGCATGCGAGGTCAGTTTGAACCACAAGGTTGGCAGTTCAAACTCACCATCCGCTCCTCAGAAATCCTACTGTAAGTCAGAACTGACTTGAAGATACTTAACAACAACAGTGAGAATTCGGAGTCCTGGTGTGGTGCTGTAAGATAAGCACTGGACCATAAGGTTGGTTTGAACCTCTAGGTCGGCAGTTCAAACTCACCAGCTGCTCCTTGGAAACCCTATACAGGGTTGCTATGAGTCGCAACTGACTCAATAGCACTTAATAACAACAACAAAGTGAGACCTTGGAGTCCGGGTATGGCACTGTAGGATCAGCACTGGACTGCTAACCACAAGGTCGACAGTTCAGACCCACCAGCCACTCCTTGGAAGCCCTATACAGGGTCACTATGAGTCAGACCTGATTAAACAGCACTGAACAACAAGTAAGGCCCTAGTCAAGACAGTGAGATTCTCTTGAGCTTCAGCTGCCTCCTCTATAAAATAGGGATAATATCACCCACACGCTGGAAGGAGCCCTGGTAGCGTAGTGGTTACGAGTTGGGCTGCTAACCTCAAGGTCAGCATTTTGAAACTACCAGCTGTTCGATGGGAGAAAGATGAGGCTTTCTGCTCCCGTAAAGATTTACAGCTTTGGACTAGAGTAGAGAGTGAAGCATTCAGCTGATAAGAAGAGAGGGCATATGCACAAGAACACCAACACTTGCAGATAATACCCACTTGACCTGGCTTCAATGGCTGGATGACCAGAGCTCAACTAGAAAAAGAAAGAAGAGGGAAAAAAAGAGTAATCTGATACAATTTGATGAACTTGACCTACACCTATGGATGCAGTAGCTCAAAAGAGGGAACAAATCTTTACAGCAAGGATCATTCCTACCCCCTCCATACACAGAGTAGACAGCGATGGGCAACTTGGACATTGGCTACCCAAAATGGGGTGGCGGGGGGAGGGCTACAAAGGCAAGAAGTGACTGGCTTACAAGCTTTCAAGAGGGAGCCTAGATCCAGAGGGCGTGGAGGAAGGTAGAATCTCCACTGAGTAGTATCCAATCTGTCTAGGCGGGGCTGATGAAAGGAAATGCGGATAGGTCTCTTGTGATACAATAGTGAATAATTGTTATCAGGACTGATTGTGAGGGTTGGAAATGTAAATAAAGGTAGACGTTTTATAGCAAGGAGGGGAGTGATTAACTTGCAATCTAGGAGCGGAGGTCCCTGGGACCTTGAAGGGAGAAGAGCAGAGAATGGGGCCCTACCCAGAGAAGCAGTGATGCCTGAGAGGGAGGTAGAGACAATGATGTGGAGAGATGGAACAGCTGGGGACTTTAGACCCAGAGAGGGAGAGGGGCTGTGTGCTGACACACAGGGGGGCAGGCTTGTAGGGTATACTCTTTGGTTGGTTGATGATGCATGGAGGGGATTGTAACCATGGCAATGAAACGATAAAAGATAGAATGAATGTAAAACTAATGTTCTCCCATGTAAAGTATCACATAATTCGCAATAAAACATTTAAAGAAAGAAATAAAAGATTTACGGCTTTGGAAACCTTATACAGGGTCACTATGAGTCAGATCTCACTCCATGGCGTACCACCACTACACGCTAAAAGATTGGTTTGAGGATTAAAAGATCACATATATACATGTTTAAAATATCTGCCAAAGTACCAAAAGATCTGTAAGTGACAAAAATGATTTATGTTCAATTGCTAGCCTAAAGTTTGATGGTTTGAACCCATCCACTGGTACCACATCAAGAAAAGACCAAGTGATCTGCTTCTGTTAAGATTATAACCAAGAAAACCTTGCACACATGGCATCTCCATGAGTCAGAACAACACTAGCTATGGTCTAGAACCTATGAAGCAGGCCCAGTAGCACTTAATAAAAGGTAGCTGCTGTTGTTTTTGTCATTATCCCACCTGTACCCTCACTATCTGCATGTCAGGAGATGAGCCGGGAGTTTTGCCACCAACAGGAAGCGCTGTGGGAGTTACTAACCACAGAGGTGATCTACGTGAGAAAGCTCAAGATCATGACAGATGTGAGTCTCCCTGAAGCCCAGCCCTGACCCTGTCCTCAGTTGTTTACCCATCTCTCTTGCCTAGCTCCCATTCTCCCAGGCCAGAAAGGGTAGGGTTCCTGGAAGAGGGCGGGACAGGATACAAGCACCCTGATTTCAGGCCAGCCTGGAGTCTGTGGAGAGAGGCAGGCAGTACTGAAGGCAGGGTGGGAGATGTTGAAGAGATCAGCTGGGGTCCTGAGAGGCATGAAGTCTAAGAACCCTCACTTCTCTCCCTGCGTCTAGCTCCTAGTCAACGGTTTACTGAACTTGCAGCGAGTGGGACTGCTATTGGAAGTGAGTGGGCACCAGAGGGAAGAAACCTGCCCATCCCAAGCACTGAGCCCAGGGAGTAAGGATTGGACTCACAGTCTGAATCCCCATCCCTCAGTTTCTACCCACCCTAAACCTCATCTTGCTCTAGACCCCAATCAGGCCCCAGTCCCCTGTACTCATCTGCTGAGGCCACAGAGGTGGAAGGAAAAGCTGGAGCCCTTCGATTCTTCAGGCCCACTCCTAGGCTCATGCCTTCTAACCTCTGCCACCACCACCACCCCCTGCCCCACACACACAGCCTCCGGACCCAGGTCATCCCATGTCCACAGCTAGTGCTGCCTAATGATGAGCCTGCCAAAGACATATTGCTGTCCCCTCCTCAGGTGTCAGTTGAGACCCTGTTTGGAAACGTCCCCAGCCTGATTCGAGCCCACCAGAGCTTTTGGGAGGAGGTGCTGGGACCCACTCTGGAGGAGATGCAAGCTTCAGGCCAGCCTCTGGACCCTGTCAGCCTGCAAAACGGCTTCCTGACGGTGAGGCATGGGAAAGGGCCACATCTGGTTGGCGCAGACCCAGGAGACCCCAGAGGAGTCTTGTCAGTAGGACTTGCCCATGTGCCTTGAATTCCTCCATGATTTGAGGGACCACAGGACACAGTCCCTACCCTAATATGCCACTTCACTTCCTCCCCTTCATTCTGCCAGCACGACCTCTGTCTCAAATGTTATTTGGTCTTCTGGAGACTGATAGGAAATAATGGAAATGCAGCTATTTCGGGGAAAGATTACACTTATACTATAAAATCTTATGGAGATTCATTGACACAGCTGGGAGCAGGCACCGGTGTTCTTTAGGATGGTCGGAGAGCAGAGGACAGGAAACACTGTAGGGGCACTAGAAACATGAAGAAGAACAATAAGAAAAACAAGAGTTTTCCCAGAATCAAACTTTCCTCCACAAGTTTACCTAGTGAGGAAACTTACCAAGTTGAGTTGGGTGAAGAGATGGGGGAACAATCTCCACAAGAACAGGTTACCACCTTCACTACCACCACTCCCCACCAGGGTGAAATGGGATCTGCAACGACCTGAAAACGTTTCAGCTGAATTATTGATGGTAGGAGAGTGGGCAGTAAGAGTAATCGGGCACGGCCAGGGCTATAGATGGAAGGAACTCAGAAAGCAGCGATGGGTCTGTTTCTCGGGACCTCCTTGAAATACAGAGATGGACCTGGCCATGAATTTGACTGTGGGAGGTAGGGGATGGGCAGGAGCCAGCAGGCCTGTGTGAGGCTCTTTCCCCACCATGATCCGATGTTCTGAAACCATAACTTGTATTTCATGACCTTCTTCCTCTTGCCTGTCCCCTCCCTACCATATCTGTCTCTCCAGTTTGGCCAACGGTTTCAGCCCTATGTCCAGTACTGCCTACAGGTGAAGCAGACCATGGCTTATGCCCGGGGGCAGCAAGACAACAACATTCTCTTCCAGACCTTCGTGCAGGTGGGAGAGGTGTAGGTGGAAGAGGGAGTGTCCAGAAAAGAGGGGTGGGATAGATCCAGATAACAGTATCATACCAGTCTACAGCTGGGTTCAAGGCTGAGTTCAGGATGGATGAGATGCAGGATGGAGCGTAAAGCTTTCTGACCCCTTGGCCCCTCCCCTGGCAGTGGTGTGAGAAGCACAATTGCTCAGGAAAGCAGAGGCTGGGTGACCTGCTCATCAAGCCCCATCAGCGTGTCACCAAATATCCACTGCTGCTCCAGGCTGTTCTCAAGAGGAGTCCTGAGGCCCGAGCCCAAGAGGCTCTGAATGCCATGGTAAGTGCCCTAGCTGGACCAGGGATCTCGGGAGTTGGGGATCCAGGAAATTGGTTGGGATCTTTTGGGGGTAATGTCTTTTCTCATGTGTGTGTGACAGTGGACACTTATGGGGTCTACCTGTTTAGGGTGCTGTGGCTGTGGATGATTGGTTAGGGTGTACAAGGTTCAGAACTGAGCTGTGCCTCCTCTCGCGGTGCCTCCTCACCTCCTAGATTCTAGAAGTGGAGTCGTTCTTGAGATACATCAACAGGCAGGTCCGCCAAGGTGAGGATCACGAGAGCTTGGTGGCTGCTACCCAACGTATTGGGGCCTATGAAGTGCTGGAACCATCCAGTGAGGAGGTGGAGAAGGTGAGAGAGAGCAGAGGGCTCAGAAAAAGTGGGGCCCAGGGAAATGGATGGAGTAGAGGCCTAGAGATAAAGGGTGTGTTTTGGCACCACAGATGAGGTGTGCCCACGGTTCTTCTGGGTGGTGAGGGCCCAAGGGGCAGAATTCAAGAGTAAGAAGGAGGTAGAGCAGTTGTTTTCCCGCCAAGAAAGGAAAACTGGAGAGAGAAGGGGCTGGTGGTGGAATAGAGGCCGCCTTTGGCTGGGATTTGAAAACAAACCCTGCCTGTCCCCTGAACCTCTTCCCTCTATGTCCCTCAGAACCTGCGTCCCTTCTCCACCCTGGACCTGACTTCTCCCATGGTAGGGGTTGCCGCTGAGCATACCAGGCAGCTACTATTGGAGGGATACGTTCGAGTGAAGGAGGGACGAGAAGGCAAGGTGAGGGAGATGTGGGGAGGAGATGAAATGAAGAGAAAGGATGGGACCCAAGAAACAGAAAAGCTGAAAATGGAAAGGGGGTGTGAGTGTGTGTGTGTGTGTGTGTGTGTGTGTGTGTGTGTGTGTGTGTTGAAAGAGGATGTGGTTCTGGCTAAGTTCTGATTATTTGTATGACCCTGAGCCAACTACTTTCCCAACCTATGAAGCTACAGTTTGGATCAAGCTTTAGCATCCCATAGTTCATCACTTGCCTGGTGTATGTGTGAACCCACTCATGTATACCCTTTTGTATGAGCCCCCATCCCCTAACAGCCCTTCCCCTGCTCCAGCTGAGCCTTGTCTATATCCCCTGCCCTCCCAGCTGGACGCTCATCTGTTCCTCTTCTCTGACGTGCTCCTGGTGACCAAGCCCCAACGCAAGGCAGACAAAGTCAAAGTCATCCGCCCCCCACTCATGCTGGACAAGCTTGTGTGCCAACCACTCCGAGACCCCAGTATGTCTTCTCACCGAAGGCTTTTCCTAGGGGGCATTTCCCTTCTCCCTTCTCAGCAAGGGAGGAAGGAAGGACCAGGATGGGGCTACAACAAAGCCCAGGCCTTGAAGCTGACCCTCTCCTCCACCCAGACAGCTTCCTGGTGATCAACCTCACTGAATTCCAGTGTGTCTCTAGTGCCTTCATTGTACACTGTCCCAATTCCACAGAGTGTACCCAGTGGCTGGAAAAGACTCAGCGTGCCCAGGTATGTGAACACAGGGTATGGGGAGGGGTTCACAAGGGTCCCAGTGCTCAGAAATGGAACCTAAGTGGCTAGGAGGAGGAGGGAGAGGCTAGGGTAGATGCAGTGTCAGACTGAACTGTCAGCCCTCTGTCTGAAGGGAGACAAAACCTTGACCATTTGTTAGCAGATAGAAGGAAACCTTTGGCCAGCTACTGTGCTAGTTACTGGGAGAAACCAAGACATGCCAAACATCCCCTAAATGTTTCTCCACCTTTCAGCAATGACTTCCTAAACTTTATCTTCCACCCAATAGACATTTATAGGCAATTGCTGTGTGCAGGCACTGCTTTGAGTACTAAAGAATTAAAAAGGACTAAAACAGCATTCTTGCTTTCAAAGAATATATGCTGTGTTCTAACTAGACAAATCAGCATACAAGTAATAGAAATATGTACAAAGCATGGAACTAACCCAGAAAAAGGAGTAATGCATTTGGTCTAGGGGGCAGTAAAGAGGGAGGCAAGTTAAGAAGTCTTCAGAGACGAGCTGATGTCTGAGCACCATTTGGGGTGCTGTCTACAAGTGTGTCCAGAAGAGTAGCAAAGAAGGGTATTCAAAATGACAAAGCAGAATGTTAAAAGGCCTGAAATATGGAGCAGCTGTGTTTGTTGAGAAAACCAGCAACACAGTGGTTCGATACTGCTAGGACATGAAGTAGAAAGCGAGGTGAAGCAGGAGAAAGGTCGGGGAGGTAAGTCCAACCAGATCAAGTTCATCTCTGTATATCATGGTAAGGAACTTGAACTTTGTCCCATAGATGGCACAGAACTAGTAAAAGTGTTACGCAGAGGAGTGACGTGAAAAGATTTGTATAATAAAAGCTAGAGGAGTTCAGAGAACGAGAGAGCCAAATGGGCTGGACTTTGAAGGATGAAGAAGGCTGTGAACAGAAGAATCCAAGGATCAAAAGGGTTAGATTATATTTTAGGACAATGACTAGGTCTGTCTGGAGTCTAGAACAAAGGGTATGTGTGAGAGAGGGATGAGAGGCCATGTTCTAAAGACCTTGAGAGCTATACACAAGTGTGGTCTGGACAAGAGTGGATTGCACTGGATTGACAAGAGAAGGCCACCACCAAATCTTGAGCAAGGGAATGACATAGTCAAAGCAGTGTGTGTTTTTTTGGGTTTTCGAATCAAGGAAGCAATGTGGTTAGGTGGGCTGAAGGAAGGAGAAATACTGTTGGTAGGAGATTTATTGTGCTAGCTGAATGTAAACCATCAAAGGTTTAGTGCCCTGGCTTTGCCAAAAAGGAAAAAAAAAATTTTTTTTTTAAAGTTAAGGAGGAAGAGACAGGTGAATTTTATAGAGCGTGTAATTGAATTTCTAGAATAAACTCAGAAAAAAATCTAAGTTCAGACTCCAGTTCTGCCCCTTACTGTGTGGCTTGGATAAATTATGTGGTTTCCTTAAGCTCCAATTTCTTCAGCTGCAAAACAGAGATAAATAAAAACAGGACTTACCTCCTAAGGAAGATTCAAAGAAATCATTCAGATTAAGCAGGTAGCATGATATCAGCACTCAGTAAATCCTCAGTAACTCAGGTTACTCAAGGACAAAGGCTGATTCACTTCCTGAAGTTTCTGTTTGAAAGACTGGATTGGCAATGGACAGACAGACAGAAATCACATCCTACTACATCTATAACCCCATCATGTTATATAATACAGTTCAGTCAGAGAACGGGATGTGAGGGACGTAGTGGATGTAAAGGCACGCAGTGAACCACAACAGCTTCCTGCATGCAACAGGTGTAGCTGATATCACTTGTATACAAAGTGATTGTACTGCCGGGCATATAATGGTACAGTACATAGATACTGTATTTGTATGCAAATACAGCACGCACACACCTTCTGTTCCCTCCCTCTGTGAAATATTATCATAAGCTCTATGCTAATTTGTTGCATGTTGCTGCAAAAAAAAAAAAAATATATATATATATATATAAACATAGTGCACTAATGAAAATGCCTGCGGGGTTGGAAGAGGAATAGTTGGCAAACAAACATAAAAGGCTCGAGTTATTTCAATAAACAGATGGCAACCTATAGTGCATACTTTGATAGTCATAGTAAATGGCTGTATTACTGACTTCTGTATGTACTGTACTGCATTTTCTATCTTTATTTTCATGTGAGTTTTCCCTACTTACAAATAAGAAGGTTACCGTTATCTAACAGAGTCCTGGTGTGGTGCTTCAGGATAATGCCCTGGACCAAAAGGTCAGCTTGAACCAAAAGGTCAGTGGTTCAAACCCACCAGTCACTCCTCAGAAACCCTAGACAAAGTCACTATGAGTCAGAACCGACTCAACAGCACACAGTAACAACATATAATAGTGTATGCCCCAGTTTGTAGGCAGCAGCATCCAATCCCACATATCACACATCTTTTGAGTGTTGTAGTATTCTCTATTTGATTTTCTTCCGGAAATATTACCACGAAGTTCAGCATGGCTCCCAAATGAAGCAAAACTAGTGCTAGTGAGAACAGTGGCAAGAGGCAAAGGAGAAGCATCTGTTTGAAAGTGGGAAACAAAGATTAACACCAGGGTAGAGTCCTAGGTGGTAAATCAATGTATGCTTGTGCTCGTGATTTAAGCATGTCTGCACAGCATCCAAATCACGTAACACCTATCTCACAGAACACATCATGGACATTAAACAAGGCATGGCTGTAATTAGAAAGGGAAACTTGTTTGTTTAGTTGTTGCTTCCAGGGAGGAGTGAGGCTAGATTATAATATTTAGTTTTAAACACAAGCACTTTGAAATTGTAGGAGGAGGAGATAGCCAAGTAGAGATTTCTTAGGGGCGTTTGGAAATGTGGAAACATGGGCCTGGAGTTCAGGTGAGAAAAAAGAATGAAAGATGGAACCTCAAGAGTGTGTGCCCTCCAGCCCTGAGGAGCTGGGTAGCTAAATAAGATGGCAGTGGTTCCCAGAAAGCCCAGGCTGCCCCAGCCAGATGTTGCTGACATTCTGGGGTAAGGGTAGGGAACCAGACTGGAGAGGGTTGTTGCTGTTGTTATTAAGTTGCCGTCGAGTCGGCTCCAACTCACAGTGACCCTGTATAGGGTTTCCAAGGCTTTAGAGTAGAGAAGGATGCATAGTTTATGTGGCAAAAATGGTCTTCCCTCTGGTCTAACCCCTTTCCAGGCTCAGCGCATACATCTTTCTCTGCTTATTAGCTGCCTTCTCTCCATACTACTTCTTGAGCCTAAACACAGCTCTCTTATGTGGAAACAGGCAAAACTGACTAGCTACTGGCTATCACTAAGGAGCTCTGGTAGAGTAGTGGTTACGAATCGGGCTGCTAACCTCAAGGTCGGCAGTTCGAAACTATGAGCTGTTCTGCGGGAGAAAGATGAGGCTTTCTGCTCCCTTAAAGATTTACAGCCTCAGAAACCACCTGTACGATGAGTCGGAACTGACTCTATGGTACTAAACAACAACAACAACTGGCTATCACTACCATCCTATGGCTAAGCAGGTGTTACTAAAGGCTGTGGGTATAGGGGAGCTAGAGAACAAAACCACAAACTGGCATCAGTGTTCCGAGAACCAGCACTCCCCATCCTAAATTGGAGTGGCCATTACTGGCAGGCAGCCTCTTTTCTTTCCCATTTCCCCACCCCCCCAACTGAACTTTGACCTCTTGCCTCAGTTCTTAGTTCTTTGACACCACCACTCCTCACCTTCTCCCTTTAGAACCCCAAAACAAAACATTACTCATTGCTGTTGAGTCATTTCTGACTTATGGCAGCCCCATGTATGTGAGACTAGAACTGTGTCCCATAGGCTTATCAAGGCTGTTACATTTCAAAAGCAGTTTGCTAGGCCTTGTTCCTAGGCACCTTTCAGTGTTTGACCAGCCTTTTAGTTAGTAGTCCCCTTAATAGTTTTAAACACTCCGGGACTCCTTAGAACACCCATCTTGTTCGTATTCTTGTTCTTGTTGTGTGCCATCAAGTCAGTTCTGACCCACAATGACCCATAGAAATTCCAAGGAGCGGCTAGTGAGCTTGAACCACTGACCTTGCAGTTCAAACCAACTTTGCAGTCCAATGCATTAACTCACAGCACCACACCAAGACTCCTAGAACCCCGTGGTTGTTGCTGTTGTTAAGTGCCCTGGAGTTAGTGCTGACTCATAGTGACCCTGTGTAAGGTTCCCAAGGAGTGGCTGATGGGTTTGAACCACCAACCTTGAGGCTCAAACTGACCTTGCAGTCAAGCTCACTATCCCGCAGCGCCACATCAGGACTCCAGATTAGGCTACTAAAAATTGCTGGTATTTTATTATGCAAATAATCCTTTCTAAGTTAGTGGGAAAAAGGAAGTTGGTTTTTATATCAAACCCAAAAATTCACTGAAACTTCTGGACTTCCACTCTTAGCAAAACAAAGAACCCTGAAACTTCTAAACGAGTTTAGTTTGTTTCACATTGAAGTCTTAAAAGTAAACGTTCCCTCACACTGAATTCTTAAAGGTAATCTTTACCTTTAGTAGCCCTGTCTTTATAAACTGAAGAGGGTTAATAGGTTATTGACCCCTTGATAGAGTAATCCCCAAGAATCAGAACTATGGATGTAAATTTACTCATAGCTGTTCAAGTAGTGGTGAGTTAAGCTTTTAGAGAAAATTAGTATCTTTAGCAGGAGAAAGCTGAATCTTGGTTCCCCATATTTAGCAGCATGGGAAGAAGAAAAGGAACCACGGAGAGGAACAGAGAAAGCTGTCAGGCAGAGGAGACAATGTCTGAAGGAGGGTCCAGAGCCAGCTATCTCTCTCTCATTTGCTACCTGTGCTCTTGGGCAAGTTACTTCACTTCTCTAAACCTGGTCCCCCAACTGGGGAACTGCTCCAATAAATGGTAACTACCACGTAGGGTGGAGTCCTGGTGTGGCACTATGGGTTAATGCACTGGACTGCAAAGTCGCTTCAAACTGCTGGGTCG